GGTGGGATCTGGTTGTCCACTGGACGACCGGGAGGTGGGATCTGGTTGTCCACTGGACGACCGGGAGGTGGGATCTGGTTGTCCACTGGACGACCGGGAGGTGGGATCTGGTTGTCCACTGGACGACCTGGAGGTGGGATCTGGTTGTCCGAAACCAGTGGTGTCAAAAGTATTCACATTCATTACTTAAGTAGAAGTATAGATATTAGGGTTTAAAAATACTTTTATGGAAGTAGACGTATCGACTCGAGCTTTTTACTCAAGTAAAAGTATAAAAGTACTGGTTTAAAAACTACTTAAAGTATAAAAGTAAAAGAAATGAACACCATAAAAAAGAAAATCGACGTTCTGTTCTCTGATTGGCCTGGACAAAAATTCTCCCAAAGAAATCCTTGTCTGTGGGAGAAATTTTAGACGTAGCAGTGAAGGGAAACTACTACACAGGTGTGATGGAGTGAGTTCAATCCAATAGGATGTCAGAATGGTATATATTTACACTTTTTACACTTATATTTACACTTCTCATCAACCACAATCAAATTCACTCTATCCATTGGCTCCATGTGTCTGGATAGAGTTATATTTATTAATTTTTTTCTGAACAATGAAAAGATGGAATAAAAACAAGTCAAAGTTAAATAGAAATTAAATACTTTTTGTATTTTTAAAAAAGTAAGGAGTAGAAAGTACAGATAATTGAATTGAAATGTAAGAAGAAGAAGTAAAAAGTAGTCTGAAAAATAATTACTCCACTAAAGTGTAAATAACCAAAATTACTACTTAAGTAAAGTAACAAAGTATTTGTACTTAGTTACTTGACACCTCTGTCCGAAACAAAAATGTGTTTTCTCGGACAACCTAAATAACTCTACATGGTCTGTTTGCTCCCCCCTCTTCCTGGTACTGTGTACCACTAAAAGAATAACCCTAACCGGCACAGGATCTTTTAGTGGTACACAGTACCGGACCGGCTTACTTTCACCCCTGGTTGCAAATGATGCTCTGCTACTACAGAACCAAACTTTAACTCAATATCTGTAAAACTAAGTTATATCTATTTTTGTGTTGGTTATCTTGAAGTAAATTAACACCTAATTTCAAACATTTGTAACTTCAATGATTACTTTTTGAAAACTTCCCCAAAATCCATCCATTGGTCTAAGAAATATTTTTGCTAAAGCTGCAGACAAACATGGAAACAAAGACATCCCTTTAGTCGATGTGCAGTTAGTCCAGTGTGTAAGTTATGTCTGAAATACAGTTTGTTTTTTTATTGCTTAGTTATTTAATGGCGGCACGGTGGCTCAGTTGGTAGAGCTGAGGCCTCTCAGCAAGAAGGTTGCCGGTTTAAATCCCGGCCCAGGGACCTTTCTGGGTAGAGTTTGCATGTTCTCTCCGTGCATGCGTGGGTTCTCTCTGGGTACTCCAGCTTCCTCCCACAGACCAAAAACATGACTGTTTATGTAATTGATAACTCTAAATTGTCCCTACGCTGCAAAAACTGTCCATCTTACCAAGTTTTAAATCTTATCAGTCAAAAAGTCTTTCTGATCTTGTTTTCAGACTGATTTACTAAACAAGAAC